CTCCATCTCCGACAGGCTGTAGGCCATGGCCAGCTGCAGGTCCTCATCCTCGTCCTTGCTGTCTGTGCACAGGGCCACGGGGGAGGCTCGCTGCAGTGGGGGCGAGGGCGGCCGCCGGCTCTCCAACGCCTGCTGCTCACGGCGGCTCAGCTCCAGCCCCAGCGCGAGGTCGTCAGGGACCCCTGCAATTGGAAGGGGTGTGAGGGGCTGGTGGCAGCACTAGGGAGAGCCGAACTCTGACACAGGCTCCCCGCGGGTCCCTGGTCAAGCCCCTGCACCCCGGCCCGCCTGCCCCACACACCGTTGATGTGGATGGACTTCAGCTCGCCATCCTCCTCCACCTCCACCCGCTCCTGCCCGTTCTCCACGATCCTGCAGAGAGAAGCCGGCATCATCCATGCCCCGTGCCCACGGGCCAACACCCCTTTGCCACGCCATGTGTTGCAAACCCTTCTCTTGCCCCCTCCAGCATCTCTCCTAGAACCCAGAAACCCCTTCCCCATCAGAGTTTGCTTGTGCCCAGCTTGTGGCAATGGATTCCCCCTGAGGCCCCCCCCAGGGGTCCCACACCCTGGGCTGGCACCTCCCAGGATCTGGAGCTGAGCCCGAGGCACCGTGAATGCCCCCAGCACCAGCCCTGCCTTTGCCCCAGGGCCACGCACCAGGGTGTGCACACGGAGGACAAGGCCCAAGAGGGAGATGGCCAAAGGACCCAGACCCCAAAGCCAAGGCCACCAAACAGCTGGGACAAGCTGGGGGCTCCTTTCTTTGCTGCCCAGCTGCCCTGGTGCTCGGGGCCCGCTGCCGGCTCAGGCCAGCCCGGTGCAGCTCACCTCTTGGTGGTGATGCGCCTGCCGTTGACGAAGGTGGTGGAGGTGGAGACCGAGCGGAAGCCGACTCCTGCATTGGAGCCGAAGGACGAGGAGAAGAAATCTGCAAAATGGGGCGGTGGCAGCTCAAGGCTGGGGGTTCGGAGGGGTCTGGGCACCCTCAGCTGGGAGCGCAGGGGGCTGGGATGGAGGGAGATGCAGAGCAGGGACGTCCCCAAGAGGGACCTACCTGAGGATGCCGGGAAGGGGGAGAAGAAGTGTCCTGGCCCCGGGGGTCGGGAGCTGGGGCCCCGCATCTCCGAGAAGGGCAGCACGTCATCTGGAAGGCAGCGAGCGCAGCGTGAGCCCTGGGCATGGGCGCTGCAGGCCCCTGCGTGCAGCGCCGGCTCCATAGAGCCTGGGCCAGGGCACGAGCCCGGCTGTCCCTGGAGGGGACGGAGCCCCCCAGCACTCACCGAAGAACTCAGCGAAGGGGTCCCGGCCGCCGAAGAACTCGCGGAAGACGTCGTAGGCGCTGCGAAAGGTGAAGGGGAACTCGGGGACCCCAGCATCCGCCTGTGGCCCCCCAGTGCCTGCGGGGAGAGAGCAGAGGACGTCACCGGGGGGCTAAAATGGCCGGGAAGGGCTGACGGCCCCCAGAGAGCCAGGGCCCCACCCTCCACCACTGGCCAGGGCCTGCCAGCATGGAGCAGAGACGTGCATATGTGTGCGCACCCCCTCGTTCAAACCCACCCACACACTTGTGCACGCTCTCCCATAAGTATGCACCTGCACGCACACACCCACGTGCATACACCCACATGCAAACACACAGGTGCACACCCCCCCACATGCATACACACACACCTGTGCATATACGTGCATGCAGCCATGTGTCCGCTGACCCCCCATGTGTACACATGCACGCGTCACCCACGTGCATATATGGCCACATGTGCACGCATCCATATGCGTACACACATGCACCCACCCCCCAGGAGACACACGCGTGCACTCATCGTGCCGCACTGGGGCTCTGCTCACCTGCCCCCACGAGCCCTTCCTTGCCGTAGCGGTCATACACGTCCCGCTTTTGCTCTGGAAGCAGAAGGCAGAGTCAGACCGGGCACGTGGGCACGGCGGGGCTGTGCGCCCTCCGACAGGGCCACGGGCTGGGGGGACTTTTACCCCCTGCAAAGCAAGAGGGCTAACGGGCAACGCCGAGGTTTGGGGCGCCCGTTGCGCCAGCCCGGGACCCCTGAGAGCTCCATCAGCCGGAGCAGGAGGGCCCCCGAGGGGAGCTGGGACGGGGGGAACGGGCCGCCCCCAGGTCCCGGCCCTTCTGCTCCGTCTCGGGGGCCGGGGGGTCGCGCGCCCTTACGGTCCGACAGCACTTCGTAGGCCTCCGCGATCTCCTTGAACTTCCTCTCGGCGAACTCCTTGTCGTCGGGGTTCTTGTCCGGGTGCCACCGCAGCGCCGCGCGCCGGTACCTGCGCCGCAGCCAGCGCCCAGTCAGCGCCGGGGCCGG